GCTGTCTGTTGCCTAAAATATTTTTTTTCCAGCAAGAACTGACCTATGTGGTCTTTTATTAAACTCTCCAGTATCTTCCCAACTATAGAAGTTCAATTAACAGGTCTATAATTACTTGGTAAAGATTTTGACCCATTTTTAAATATTGGCACCACATTGGCCTTACACCAATCCAGTGGTAATATGCCAGTCATTAAAGAATCCCTAAAAATTAGAAAAATGGCTTTGAAATGACAGAGCCCAATTCTTTAAGGACCCATGAGTGTATGCCATCTGGTCCAGGTGCTTTATTCACCTTTTATTCTGTCTAAATATTTTTGGATCATATCAATTGTAAGCCAATGTGGATCATCTGGTTTGATTTTTAGCCTTTTAAACTTGTTGTCCATGGGAATATAGTTTGCAGTTTGTTCACATACAGTCGTTTTGAAGAACTCCCATTTCTGTGCTGGGTTCACTGATGTCAATATTCCCTCCCAGTCTAAGTCTTGGAGAGCAGCTCTCAGCCTTGGAAAAATTAGCTCTCTTAAAATTGAGCGTTTTTATTTTTCCTGTATGTGCTTGCTGTTTACAGCTAACAATAAATTAAATCATGTTATGGTAACTTGTACCCATATGTTTCCTTTATATGGACATTCATAATAAGCTCTGCATGGTTTGAGATTACCAGGTCTAGCAGAGCATCATTCATAGTTGGGGCCTCTGTGACCTGTACCATAAAATTGTCCTGTAGTAGGTTTCAAAATGTTTTGCCATTTAACTGTTCCTGCTGTAGCATTACTCCCAGTCAATTTCCAGGTAGTTAAAATCCCCTATTATTATCACTGTCCTAGCTCTTTGCAGCCCTTTTGATCTGTGCAAGGAGCTAAGTCTCCATCTCCTTATTAACACTGGGAGGCCTATAACAAACTCCAATGATTACCTTTGTAGTACACATCCCCATGTGCAGTTCCACCCATAATGTTTTCAGCCTCCTCACACTCTCCAACAACTAGGTCCTCTTCCACAGTCTCTCTGAGATGACTTCTCACATAGAGACAGACACCACCACCTCTCCTATTTACCCTGTCTAGAGAACATAGCCAGGAATATTACTGGCCCGGTCATGTGAAGAATGAAGCCAAGATTCAGCAATACCAATTAAATCATAGTTCTGTGCATGCACCAAAGCTTCCAACTCACCTATTTTGCTCGGCAGACTTCTGGCATTTGTGAACAAACACTTTAATCAATTGAATTTACAGAAATCCCCCTGCGCTCCACAGAACCTAGTGAGTTAGCTGCTATCACCTATTCTCTATACCGCAAGATATGTGCAAACAAAATTATATAAATGGTGAAGCGCTCAACTTAAATAGAAGTGAAAATTATCTCATACCTAAATAAATTCCAAATATGCAAACTCAATAATCAATATAAATGAAAAAAATGGTGCAATATCCCCATATATGAATTATACGTCCCTGGTGGTATAGTGATGAACAACTAATACCTCTTGAGCTGTGCAAATATACAAAAAAATAATCAATATAAATGAAAAAACTAGTGCAATATCCCCATATATGGATTATACGTCCCTGGTGGTATAGTGATGAACAACTAATACCTCTTGAGCTGTGCAAAGTGATACTTATATCCAATTAATTAAAACAATTAAATAAAATATATTAATTCAAAATAAATTGTGATGCCACACTGTGCAAAATCATAAAAAGTGTTCAAATGACGTCACTCCATGCTGCAATTGTGCTCTTCGTGAAAATCTTGACGTGACTCCCCTCAATAATAGCCAAAGTGCCCCCTCACCTTCCACATTCGACCCTTGCGGGTCACAAAGCTTTATATATATATAATATATCTCTGCCAGGTGTTTTTCTCCTCCACTGCCTCCACCGACCCAATCAAGATCCTCCTCCAGGCAATGAGTTCCACTCAAATAACTCCCCTCACAATACGGACTCAGACACAGGGCGCATATGCAAGAAAAAGCAGACCTCCATAGTGCAACACTGTTTTAATGCACTCCGAGATATATAACAAAATGCACTCACATATCCTCCAACAGAGAGAAGCAGTTCCCCATGTGCTATGGGTATATTCAGGTGTACAAAGATGGCGTCCGAACCCGGAACCGGAAGTACGTCACCCCTATGACCGGAAATACGTCGACGCGTTGAATCCTGAAGAAGCCACGTGATCGTGGCGCAACGCGTCAACGTATTTCCGGTCATAGGGGTGACGTACTTCCGGTTCCGGGTTCGGACGCCAACTTTGTACACCTGAATATACCCATAGCACATGGGGAACTGCTTCTCTCTGTTGGAGGATATGTGAGTGCATTTTTTTATATATCTCTGAGTTCATTAAAACAGTGTTTGCACTATGGAGGTCTGCTTTTTCTTGCATATGCGCCCTGTGTCTGAGTCCGTATTGTGAGGGGAGTTATTTGAGTGGAACTCATTGCCTAGAGGAGGATCTTGATTGGGTCGGTGGAGGCAGTGGAGGAGAAAAACACCTGGCAGAGATATATTATATATATATAAAGCACTTTGGCTATTATTGAGGGGAGTCACGTCAAGATTTTCACGAAGAGCACAATTGCAGCATGGAGTGACGTCATTTGAACACTTTTTATGATTTTGCACAGTGTGGCATCACAATTTATTTTGAATTAATATTTTATTTAATTGTTTTAATTAATTGGATATAAGTATCACTTTGCACAGCTCAAGAGGTATTAGTTGTTCATCACTATACCACCAGGGACGTATAATCCATATATGGGGATATTGCACTAGTTTTTTCATTTATATTGATTATTTTTTTGTATATTTGCACAGCTCAAGAGGTATTAGTTGTTCATCACTATACCACCAGGGACGTATAATTCATATATGGGGATATTGCACCATTTTTTTCATTTATATTGATTATTGAGTTTGCATATTTGGAATTTATTTAGGTATGAGATAATTTTCACTTCTATTTAAGTTGAGCGCTTCACCATTTATATAATTTTACTTTAATCAATTGACACCTTGTGCAAATGTATTTTGCATAATTTTTATTTTCATACCAATGGTACCAATTCCACTGGTTGTTTGTAACATGGGAACCTTCTTATCATCTGTCATAGTCCTCCCCCATCTTTCCCCATTCCACCCACCAATAAGTACTGACCCTTGTCTGATCTAACTACCCCATTATAATTGAATTCTCCCTCCCCCCTCAATCCTAGTTTAAATACTCCTCCAGCCTTCCCATAAACATCTCCCCCAGCACAACAGACTCCCTTCTATTTAGGTGCAAACCATCAAAGCGATTCAAAAGGTTAATTTTTTTATGTAAAACAACAAATATGCCTATACTTACCTACTGTGTGCAGTGGTTTTGCACAGAGCAGCCTGGATCCTCCTCTTCTGGGGTCCCCCGCAGCCTCTCCTGGCTCCTCCTGTCTGTCAGGTGCCCCACAGCAAGCAGCTCACTATGGGGGCACCCGCTGCTCCGTGTGTCCATTCACCACGGAACCATGACCCTGCCCCCTCTCTCTGCTCATTGGCTGACTGGCTGTGATTGACAGCAGTGGGAGCAAATGGCTCCCGCTTGCTGTCTCAGCCAATGAGGAGGCAGAGACCCAGGACTTCCTAGGCTGTCATTCGCATCGCTGGATCGCGATGAGGCTAAGGTAAGTATTGAAGGGGCTGGGGGAACTGCTGCACACAGGTTTTTTACCTTCATGCATGGATTGCATGAAGATAAAAAACCTTCATCCTTTACAACCACTTTAAGCTAATACAAAATATTACACTTTAGTTTTATTGAGAACATGTACCTGCAAAGGTTTTGACATGCTATGTTGAGTTTTATACTTTTATGCTTTCAAACCATTTCAAGTAAATGCTTTCAATTTAACATTATTTACATTTAAAATATATATTTTTTGTGAAAATATTTGATAAATCTTGGAATCACAGCCTTTGAAGAGATAAAAATCTGACAGCGTCAGACTTGCCTCTTTTAAGACATCAAGTATTAACAGTTTGGTACCTTGCAGCACTTAAGCCACATTTAGTGTAAATGTGAAAGCCCTACTCTGGACAGTAGATAAAAATTACCCTTTCAGTGGGGCCTCCCTGCCCTGCAAATGTTAAATGCTGTTTAAGTCTAGGGGGAAAGGAATACGCTGTAATGTTTACCATATTCCTCAAACTCCAACAGCCTTCCATCCCTGTTCCCCAAAGCCACCTCTCTTCAATGCTTTGTTCAGTGGTCACTCTCTGAAGTCATCATGTATAATGCAGGACTAGCAGACCTGCATTGTACATGGGGACCTGCCCACAACTTAAGTGTTGGACAGAAGGTAGGTGGCAGATGCCTGGGGAGCAGGAAATAAGGTAAGTTTTAGAGCTTATTCCATTACCACTAGACTTAGCAAGCATTTGACCACTGCAGTGCAGGGAGGCCTCACTGCAAGATATTTTTTTTAAGTCACGGAGTTCATCTTTATGTTTAAGCTATTAATGTAGCACTGAGTTTTTCCTATGGTAGACATTTAAAGTATATGTATAGCCAAAATGTATTTTATTTCTTGGATAGCATGTGAAAGGGTTAGAACCTTTGTCAAATTTTAATTTGCTGTCCCTTTAGGTAGTTTTGCCATCCCTATTTGTACTGATGACTATTATCAAAGAGATAAAAAGTAATGAGATATCAAAAACATTAATGCGAAAATAAATGCTAACATGGTGATTTATCAGAACATGTTTGAGCCTTTAAAGCAGTTGGTAATCTCTCACATACTGTGAATTACTAGATCATAAAGCACACACCCTGTTTTTGAGATATACTTTAGGAACATCTTATGGCTGTGGCATTAGAAAGATGTCATTGATATTGACAACTTAACATGCATGGAAATGATGTGTTTTAACCTTTAAATTTGTCTTCTCTTTTTAATTGCACAGGAGCTGGAGTGACTTGTGTGGCAGTTTGAGGTCGGCATGATTGCCACTGGAGGTCTGTTGAGGATCTCTGCACGAAAACAAGATCCTCTCAGACCCAAAAGCCAAACTCCGAAGAGAAAGCGGAAAGCAAAAAAGAAGCGAAAGAACGATGTGGTGGTAGTAAAAGGAAAACTTAAACTTTGCTCTGTCTCTGGATTAATTGCCCTGTGTGGAATTTTAGTACTTTTGGTTGGAATAGCCATGGCTGTTATGGGATATTGGCCAAAAAGCAGTTCTGTTTATCATGGCAATCTAGGGACGAATCAAGCCAAACTTTCATCAGGTGATATAAATTCTATCAGTGCAAATTCAAGCCAATCTTGGAGCCATCGCAACAGTCAAGGAGCTAATCAGAATGCCTTCAAAGAAAGTGATACAAACTTAACAAGAAGCCTTCAGCAAAAAACATCACCTGGATTTCTTGCAGGTTTGTTTTCTGGATACTTGCACTCGGATAATCTTAAAGTTTTTGGTCCTCTAATAATGGGCATTGGAATATTTCTATTTATTTGTGCTAATGCGGTTCTTCATGAAAACAGAGACAAGAAAACAAAGATCATCAACTTGAGGGATCTCTACTCTACAGTGATTGATGTTCATGGCATGAAATCTAAAGATGGAGTTCCTTTAAATGGGTTTGTTAATTATGTGCAATCTCGGAGCATGGATGTAAAAGGTAGTGACACATTTGGAGCGGCAATGTTGGCCAAGAGCTCATGGCATTCTGCTCTTGGTGGACCAATTTCTTTCTCTCCTCCTAATCTAAGGGAAACAAGGACGTCTTCTCCTAAGGTATATCGACACCCAACTGAGCAAATAAACATGAATGAGGAGGTATACAGTATTTACAGGGAGAGGTCCAACTCTGCTTTACCATTTGACAGAATTTCAGGGAGAGATGAGGATATTGATTCCTTGTCTGAATCGCCTGACCTAGAATGGGGTAGGAGCAGCACGTGTTCCATAGTTGGGCATTCCCTCAGTGCTTTTACGCTGCCTATTGTCAAGTTAGATAGCTGTCTGTTGGAGAAGAAAGAAGAACATGGGGAAGGGAACAAAAGTGCCAAAGAAGTATATAAGGGAGAGATTGAATTAAGTTTGACCAATTTTAGCCATGCAGACTTAAACTGGGAAATTCCCAAAACTCATAGAAAATTACCTTTAAGGCGCCAGAGCACAAGCTGTCTGCCTGACTTCAGGAGACCAATGTCACCTGGGCCACTGTCAGAATTGGGTAGCCAGTCATTAAGTAGCACAGACTTAGACTGCAGCCTTTTGGTGAGAGGCTCTCCATTTGGCAAAACAAAACCTGCTGTTCTTATGGATTCTCTTACTACAGCGCCATTGATAAGAAGAGATTCCCAAAGTTCAGGGTCTGACCAATCAAGCAATAAGGGCTACATTCATCTTGAGGAGGCAGGAACCTCCTTCGAGTCTATAGACACCTCAGCCAATAAAACTCAAGACTGTGAGGAAACAGAGGCTATAGACATTGAAATTCCCTCGGACGATACCAGCACAGAACAACATGTAGAACAGAAGCAGTACACTAATAAAGAAAAACTGTTGATGCTCACCAGGTCTCACGCTAAATCTGATGATAATAGTGATGGTGATGATGATATAGATAATACAAGTATTTAAAGCACACTTTGAGATTTGTCCATAGTTTGTTCTGGAACATGCTGTATTACAGGGAACTTGCCAATATCCAAAGATCTGCAGTGTCAACAGTTTTAGTATGTATTGGTAACCATCACCAACACCTGATTGTAACTGTATGTTTGACTGAAACCAAACTGTATTAATAAACAGTGAACTAGCCCATCTTTAACTTTCAGTATGAATCAGATTATTTTTAACAGTAACTGTGCACTTAATTTTAGCTACAGTAGATATTTTTTCCTGCTGATGGCATGTCAGTAATTGCTCGGTTATGGCGATTTAGTTTGGCTTACTGAAATGCTAAGGCAGCAAGTCTGCCTACATAGTGATAAACTGATTTATTTTTCTGAAAAAACTGTTTTAGAGGTTTTATCATTTCTCTGGTAACATAATATTCAAATGCAGTTTAAAAGGCAGAATATTCAAATACATTTTAAAGACAAAGGACATCAGTTGAGTTTGCTTATGTGGGACTGTTAGAATTTTATTTTCAAATAATTGAAATTTTCTGTATTACGCTGTTTTTATTGGATGTTATGGTTATTAAATGACTGAAAGCATCATTATTATTATTAAAAAAATATATAAAAAAAGAAATGTTTACATTCAACTATATCACATGCACCAAAATGTATTTTTGTTATTTTTAGGTTTTTTTGTTTTTGTTTTTTTTGTTTTTATTTTTTACCTCTTGCAGTATTTTAATAATGGCATGCAATCTTGCTTACAACAAGCAGACTTGAAATGCAGAATATATAGTATATTTAGGAATCTTTTTGCTAGCTACCATAGAATTTAATTTCTATAAATGGAAATTAAGTGAAGTGCATGATAAAATGTATTTTTGCTACATTTCATATTTATTCAATGTAGATTTGCATCACTGGCCCATTTGTCAGAATGTCAGCCTTTTGATGTTTTCTATTATAAAGATTCTTTATTAAAAACAATGCTAATACTAATAATATAAATAAAGATACATAATTTATTTAAAAGATACAGAAGTATTGTTAAATATTATTAACGTAAACACTACTGTTTCCTTTTTTAACTTTTTATCTTACTGCGCAACCCGACAATGTGTGGGTTATATTTATGGTAAATTGTATCTATGTTCATTTAATTGGAGAGAAAGGGCATTTTGATGCCCGATGTGCTTTCATGGTATTTAGAAAGTACATTCACCCTGTTGTTATGTACCAGTGTATAATTAACATTTATCCATGTTCTGTGAACTTTTTTTGTATGCAAAAAATGGACTTGCATCCTTTTTTTTTTTACATATCATGAAGTATGATATCACTTGTTGAAAAATACTGTAGTATGCCTAAACTACAGTACCTTTGTGTTTTTTAAACCTTGTTGTTGACATTATTTATGGCTCCTGCAATTTTACAGATGTAATGGTGAGTGCAGTTCATGAAACTGGTGCCTCATAGCAGAAAAAAAAAATCCCCCACACCCCAATTCTTACAATCTGATTGATTTCCCGAAATCCTTGTTTCCATATTATATTAGAAAAACTGAGGATACCATTATCTGTATGCATCCATTCCAAATTGGACACAGACTACTTGTCTTGGGGTTTTGTGTTTTATCCAGGCAGAGCTGTAGTTCAAGACACTCTTCTACTGAAATTTCTAGTGACAGTAGCCTTGTTAATCAGAATGCCATCTGCTCAGCTTCCAAATATGCAGGTCAGGTATCCCATCCTGGCCCATTCCATATCGTCCAAGTAATATCGATTAGGCAGCAGATAATGTTCAAATGCTTCAATCACACCTAGAAACTGTCCCAGTAGCCATCTACCTCTGCTTACTTTGCTATGCTTTGAATTAGAATTCATTTTGAAGGTAAATTCTGTGGATATTTTGACTTACAGTATATGTCTAGGAAAAAAAAATTTGGTACATTTCTGCAATACTTGCACATTTCCTGTTTTTTTTCCCCCACAACTATACAAAAGTACCCGATGTCCTGCCAGAAATTCTGTGATCTCCGAACTTCCTGTAGTGAAAGTTGTCTCTGCTACACTGGGTTATCTGCTGGACTATACCCCCCCCCCCCCCCCCCAGTCAGCTCAGTAATATAAGGGAGAGGGGTTTTAAAGTCCAACAAGGAAGAACCCAGACAGGGCTTAATATTCAGGTTAGCAAAAGCCATGTTGTCAGCCTACAATACAAGTTAAGAGTTCACTTTATTGCTGAAAAGAGCTACACATATTGTTCTGTTAATATGGAAATTTGCATGTTTTGCAGAGATGTACTTAATGTTTTTTTTGCCTAGACATACACTTTAAAGTGTATGTTACCACAAAATATGTAATTCTTCTATGTATCTTTGTGTCCAAGTGGATGTTTGGCAATATAGCCTATTCTCTTTTTATTTCTTAGTTTCATGGAAAATAACTGGTGATCATACCAGTCCCCTTTCTTTCCTGTAAAATTCTGACTGCGCCAAGCATAGAAGCTTATCCATGCTGGTGTGACCAGTTTGTGTCTTTCAGTTTGCTAACTGGAGCTACAGAATGCAATATTAACACATGGTTGGTCTGCTGTATAGTGCACTGAATGACTGGGGAATTGGGGATCATTGACATTCACTTACCGTACATGTTACGTGTATCTACAGGATTTTCTGAATAGCTTAACTGGTTCACAGTATGGTTTCACTAATTGCTTGTGTTGTGTTTCAAAAGAAATTCTTTAAATAAGCTAACATACATATAAGTGCATCACGAACCAATATCATGTTGCAGATTTAGCTAATCAATCCTCTAAAAACATTGTTCAAATTTTTGAAGGTGTATTAATACACTTTGTGATCCATCATTTAAAGGTCTGATATTTCAGTTTTCATTGGTTCCAGGCTTGTTGAATCACAGTGTGTGAGTTTCACCTCCCAACAAAATAGTGAAATCTCCAGCTGCTAAATAACGACACCATCATTATGGGCTATGTAGTATGAGTTAGAGGTTCAAGCTACTGCAGAGAAACATCTCCATTAGAGCCTCAGGGAGATGTAACAAGGCAACAAGTGTTCAACTCCCCACTACTTTAGATAGTGTTAGCATTTTTAGTATAATGATTGTTAATTCATAAATTAGGATACATACAATACAACCAAGGTAGATGTTGGCTGCTTCCAAGCATAAATTTACTACCTGGATTTCCGAATAATAGCACCTCCTGTTTTGTGCCTCCTGTTCTGCTGTCACTGTAGAAAGTGATGAGTGATGTAGTCCTTGTTCATCAGATGATGTGATGGGTCTGGTTTATTGAGAATTTAGCTTGAGGTAGACCCAGCATCAAAACTAGCTAGATGTTTTATAACTGCTGCAGAACAGGTTTCTATAAACAGTCTGTACAGACCTCAGAGGCCAGCAGGCTTATTCTACATTATACAGGATATGAACTAAATGTTTGAGATGCAGCTCATTTTCAGTGAAAGGGCATTTATACTAAATGACCCTCCTCCCTGAGGTCTTGACTTCAATTTTCACTAAGATACCTTCTAAATGAAGTCTGCAAGTCTGTTCTATGTGAGCCTGGGATTCTGCTTAACACTGCTGTTTCCACAATCCAGAAATATAAGGCTCCCTACCAAACTGATCTTTGCATGTGTATCTGTTCAAGTTTAGAATGGGGGTAGAGAAAATCATTCAGTTCTGCAACTCCTTCTGTTCCTGTAATTTACTAGAATCTGCATCTTACACACAGAATGTTTTTTTTCTAATAAACTCCAAGAGGGTTGTGCAGAAAAAGTGGAGATTATGTGCAATGTTTCTTCTTATTCTAGGGTTAGATAACTTGCTACCACTTGACAGTTTACACAGACACAAGTTACACTCCAGGCATATCAGCCAGGTTAATAGCTGCGCATGGTATGTTGTAAGAGCAGGATTAGGGTGTCTTTGAAACATCAATCACATTTTGTACTTTGATTGGGTGTTGTCACAGGAGCACTAAAAATCACTCAGAGCACATTTAATCCCTGACAATGACTTAAATTGAAACATATAGTCTTGTGATGGGTAAGAGAATATTTCCGTTAGGAAGAAATGTGAAGAAATGTGAAGAAATGTCTAAGAACGGGAAAAAGAACAAACAGAAATATGTGTACAATATGAAGTCTATGCAGAAAATTTATAGATAACTGAACAATAAGAGAACAAAACTTTGGGATATTAAAGGGAATGGAAAATGGAATATAATACAACATTATTGAAGGGCAAGAAAGAAGATAATCGGCTAGAGAAAGAAAAAACAAAAATCATTAGAAAAAGTATATAAATGAATAATTTAAGATAATCAGGAGAATTCATAAAGGGTGTCTACTAGAAGTGTCAGTGCTTGTGCTCGATTCATGCACTTGTCAGAGACAGGTACATGAATCTGTCCCTGTCTGCACTGAGGATGGTGTATCCACATTGGACAGAGTATCCACAGTGCACTTCTTCCCTCCCTAGATACCTTTGTACTAGGGGTGGGCAGAGCCTGATGGGGAAGTGAAACTTAGTTCTCCATACTTAGAATCTGGCCACTGCTGTATATTGTCAATAAAAAGTTAGGCTGACCTGATGGGGAAACAGTCTATCAGTTCCCCATCAGACTGCGCCAACCCAGTGGCACGTCATTTCCCAAATATGGGCATTTTGGGTATTGACATGACCTGTATCCCCATTTTTATATTTTAGTTTTCAGCCAGGAAATCTCACTAAACAGAGCTGAGATTACAGTTCTGTGTGAGAAGCTGTCACATTCATGAGGTCTGAGTACTGAGCAAATCTTTATGCCAGCTCAGAGCTGGTCTTAATTACCTCCAGTTTCCTAATCTGAGAACTGGTCTTAATTCTGTAAGAATTTTTTGCTGTCGTAGAACTACCTGCGTTTTCCACACATTTCAGTAATATTACCAACACTGGCGCAAATACTACCCTGAGTTAGATGCAGGTAGCTCTTATTGGAACTACCACCAAA